GGGGTGGATGATTGTTAGGCTTTTCTGCCCTCCCCCCATTAGGGTTGATAATGGACCCTTGGGGTCCTGAATGCATGCCTGATGGTGGGCATCTGGAGTGGGGTGTGGGCATACGTAGGTGGGTACACCTGGGCTGAGACTGGGCCTTTAAGAGAGGAAACCGAACCAGAAGCAAGCCAGAGAGCAGTACAGAACAACCACAACAAGAAGTAAGAGATAGGTAGAGGAGCAGCAGAGAAGCAGAGGCCACCAGAGAATGCCAGAGAGCCCTGAAAGATTCACCTGGGGCCAGGAGGCCTGAGAGCCTCCTGATCCCTGGGGCGCCCCTGCTGGCATGTACCTGGTAAACCCAAAAAAGCCTGACAAAGCCAGCCAGGGCTCTAGGAGTCCTCCTTCACCTTTCTGCTCTGATCATGCAGAGTCACCCATTATGATAAAGAGTAACAAAAATTTGTTTTTTTCCTTGTGATGAGAACTTTGCAAATGTATTGTGTTGCCAAATTTCAAATACGCAATGCAGTATTAACTATAGACACCAGGCTCCATGTTACAATCCAGTGACCTTTTTTAACTGAAATTTGTATTTTTTGGTCTTTTTTATTCATTTTTCTCCGTACTTTCCTTGTGCCCACCAATATGAGTTTTCTGTATTTATGAGCCTGTTTTTTCCCCTCAAAGATTCCACAGATAAGTGAGATCATAGAGATTTTTCTCTTCTCAGTTATTTTACTTCATATAATGCCTCCAAGGACCACCTATGTCGTCACAGATGGCAAGATTTCCTTACAATCCGATTTCCTTCAGTCACTCATCCATTGATGGTCTTGTTTCCATGTCGTGGCTATTGCAATAATACTGCAGTGAATATGTAGCTGCAGATATCTTTTCCAGTTAGTTTTTGTCTCCTTTCGTTAAATATCTACAAGTCAAATTGCTGGATCATGTGGTTGCTTCTCTGCAAGCTACAGACTATTTTATTCAAAATTGAGCATTTTTGTCATTGGGATGTTATAATTCTGTCCATTAGATTCCTTTCCATCCCTAGGATTTATTGTTACTAACTGTCCTGACTGTATTTTGTTGTAGTGGGGACAGCAGACATCCTTGTCTTGTATCTGATCTTAGAGGAAAAACTTTCGTTTGAGAATGATGTTAGTTAGCTCTGTTATTGGCCTAGATATTTATTATGTAAGGGCATGTTTTTTCTTTGCCCATTTTTGAAGAGTTTTTAATAAGAAGTGGATGTTGAATCTTGTGAAATGCTTTCTCTGCATCCTTAGATGACGATATGATTTTGATATTTCCTTTTTCATAATGGTGAATGAGACTGATCAGTTCGTGGTTGTAGATCCACCTTGAATTGCCAGAATAAATCCTTTTGCATATTGTTAAATTTGGTTTGTGAAGTAGAACTAGGTTTGTTGAGAATTATTGCCATCTATGTCTATCAAGGATATTGGCATGTATCTTTCTCTTTCTGATTTTGTTATCAGGGTAATGTTGGTCTCATAAAATTTTATTGAAAGCATTTCATTTTCTCCCATTTTTGGGGAACAGTTTGAAGAATAATTATTTTGTCTTTGAAGGCTTGGTAGAACTCACTTGGGAAGCCCTGTAGTTTTGGGCTTTCAGTGTTGGGAGGCTTTTGACTGCTATTTCAATTTCCTTGCTTGTAATTGGCCTGCCTATGTTTTCTATTTCTTCCTGATTCAGTTTCAGAAGTTGTATTCTGAAGAACTCATCCAGTTCTTCTGGGTTATTCAATTTATTGGTGCCAAAATCTTCATAGTCCTCTCATATGATCCTCTGTTTCTGAGATGCATGTTGTAGGTTCTCTTCCATTTCTGATTCTATTTGTCAGGGTTTTCACCCTTTTTTATTCATTAATCTTAGTGCTGGTTTGTCGATTTTATCATTTTAAGGAACCCAGCTTTGGCTTCGCTGATATTTTGAGCTCTCTTCTTGACGTCTATTTCATTTATTTCAACTCTATTTTTATTACTTCCTTTCTTCTGCTGACTTTTGGTTTCATTTGTTCCTCTTTCTGGAGTTCATTAGGATGTAGGTTTAGATTATTTATTTGACTTCTGTCTTGATTGTGCAGGAGACCTATATGGTTGTGTATGCGCAGTGTAATACAGTAATTGGTGCAGCCCACAGTTACTGGTAGGTTGTGTCTTCATTTTCATTCATTTCCAGGTATTTGTAAATCCTCCTTTGTTTTTGTATTTTTTTGTTAGCCCATGATCATTCAGCTGTATGCTGTTCAGTCTTCATATATGAGACGTTTTTCCTGCTTTCTTTGTGGCTTAATTCTGGTTTGGTACTACTATGATCAGACTTCAACTAGGTTCAACTAGGTAATCTCTGGTTTCTAGTATCCTTTTCAGGATGTTCCTCTGACCTGAGCTCCTCCTATTTACTGAATGTTGCAAATTTAGTTGAGAACACTGTGACTACAATTTTTTTTCTATTCACTGGATGCCATTTTGTGTACATGAGAATGAATCAACCTTGAGAAAATAGAACCAAGCCATGGGGAATCAGAAGCTGGATGTACTCCTACATTATGGGTTACTATAAGGCAAGTCATTAAATTTTTTTGCTTAAACTAGAATCCTGTTTTTCTGTCATCTATAAGAGGAAAGTCCTATGTTATGCAGTGATTAATTTGCATATTTACCCATGAGCTCTCGACCATTTTCTATTTATCACAGTATTAGGGGTCCCTTATTCTTAAAGTTTAAGCATTATACATCACCTTCATTCTTGGTGACCAAGGTCTAATGTTGAGAGTATGGCAGGAGGGCAAATTCAATGCGCCATGACCCTGAGAGAAACTGTATTTAGATCCCAAAGACCTTATTTCATGGGGGGTCTAATATGGTTATACTACCAAAATCTCAGAAAGCAACAAGCTTAGACAAGATGTAAACTTAAGTTACTCCTAAAATGAGTGAGCAAGAAATTAAAACATACGTCCACACCAAAACAGGTCCACAATTATCCGTTAAAGTTTTTTTCTTAGTATTCCAATAATAGAAACAATCCAACTTTTTGCTGACCAATATACAAACATATGTGGGATATCCATAAAATGGAATGTCATTTGCAATTAAGAAATGAACTACTGGTATATGTTACTACATCTGGTATATGTTACTACATGGACAAATCTTGAAATCATACTGAGAAACCACCTACAAAAGACCACATATTGTAGTATTCACTACATGGGAAATACTTAGACATAAGTGGTCATCTAGGTGTGGAAAATGAGAAGATTGGAGGATGAGGGCCAAGAAGAACTGAGTTTCTTTTCAGAATGATAAAAGTTTTCTAAAATTGATTATAGTGTTGGATGCAAAATTGTGAGCATACAGAGTCACTGAATTATAAATTTTTCCTCCACATTTTATATTTTAAAAGGACAGGTTTATTAGGAAAAGGAGAAAGACAAAGAAACACACCTGCATAATCACAGGTAGGTAGGAGAGCTCTGAATTATAAGCTTTTAATGAATGAATTGTAAGGTACACGAAGGACATTTTAATGAAGTGGTAATAGTGATGTATCATTTTATTCACAGTTGCCAAAACTGGGACATAACAAAAATGTCCAAGGTAACTGGATAGATCAACAGTGATACATCTAGACAGTGCTAAAATGATGGGTAATGCAGCAGTCAGGAAAGACCATGGAGAAAATTTAAATGCACATTACTAAGTCAAGGTAGGCAATCTGAATGGACTATGTGCCATATGATTCCAACTACATGATATTCTGGAAATGGCACAACTCTGAAGACAGGAAAGATCAGCGGCCGCCAAGGGAAAAGAGACAATTGGATGAAGGGGAGATGACAGAGAATGTTCAGGACAGTGGAACTACTATGCTACTGCAATACTTAATAGAGATGTAGGACACTAAGAGTAAAACCCAGTGTAAAATGTGGTCCAGGGTGCTAGTAATGGGTCAATTGTTGGTTCATTACAATCATGAACAGTCTCATTCTGGCACTGGATTTTGAATGTCAAAGAGGATGTGTGTGGGTGTGTATGTGTGTGGCATCTACTAAAAGTTTTTGTGTAGTTAAGCTATGCTAACTTTAGAAAAATAAGTGTTAAGAGGGCCCTCCCTGGTGGTGCAGGAGTTAAGTCTCAGTGCTATCAAGGTATTGCAGCCACTGAGGCCTGAGTTTCATGCCGGGCCTGGGAGCTAATCCACAAGGCACAACAGACCTCACCTGTCTGGCCACGCTCCCCTCAGCAGTCATTTCAGTTGACCCACCTGTTCTCTCCCCACTCTGTCTCTGCTGAAACCTGCTCCTCTGGCCTACTCCCCATTACTTGTTGGCATAAATAAATAAAAATAAATCTTTAAAAAGAAAAATATTATGGACCTGTCCAAGAACATTTGAAGTTAATTATTCACAATTATTTTACACATTTCTTTTTGTGTTCTGAAGTTTAGTCATGAACTGTCCACTTTAATCAGCCCCGCTGAATAAAGATGATTGAAAATGACAGAAACACAATACTAAAATTCACTATTTGGCATTCATAAAAAAAGTCAGCGTAAAAAGCACTGTAGATCTTTATCTGAGTTTGAATAGGCAAAAACATCCTACGGGAAAGGGGGTTTGAGGACACATAGGATGTTGAGTGTCAATGTGCAAACATTCCTAGCAGTATTACAGACTTTCAAGGCAGTTGAATTGGTGAGACTCAAGCCAGGGTTTTCGAACGGTAAAGAGGAGCTCAGTTTCCATCTGCGTGACAGATACAAGAAGCATATATCCTCGAAGCAAATATATGATGGAGGGTGGAACTGGAAAACTGGATGATAGTTTAGGGTAGAGAAACCTCCTGGGCTATGGAGAATAGAGGAACCTGCTGGACCTGAGTTGGGGGAGGGGCTATGGGCACAGTCTGTGGTAGCCCCGCCCCTGCTCCCAGGTTTCCTTTGTGACACTTCAGAGCTCTGTGATGTAAGCAAGGGACTAAATAAAGGCCAGTGCTAGCCTTCTCAGGCTCAGTTGCCTCAGGCAAGCGTGTGATTCACAATATGGAAATCAGTAAATGGGATGCTCTTTCATTTCTGAAATGCCATATTGATGAGTCCAGGCTGAGCTTTGGCTCAATATCCTTGGATATTGACCCTGACCTCATTTACCTATGGGCGTATTGTTTGGTCTTTCTGTTCCTGTGCTACCTGGTGGGGATTCCATCTCTATTCACTGGCTGGAAAACCACAGAGGGCAGAAAGGTAAGGAACACTGGGCAATTCCCCAGTAGAGGTTCTGTATTGCCATTTCCATGTCTGTTTCCACATTTTAAAATAAGTTTGCTTGATTCTGGGAAGTGTGGGAAAGGGAAGTGTGACAAAGAATACAACTTCATGCTCCTCGGGAATAGACTAGGTAGGACTAGGCTCACGAGGTGCTCACAGACCAGCTGGGTGTGGTGGAAGTAAGCACCATGCCCCTGCCTTCCTGATCAGGACAGTGTCTGAGATCTCTGCGGGACACACAGGCCCCAACACTGGGTCATGAGTCACATTCCCTGGTAGGTGTCACTCCATCAAGTCTTCCTGAATGTTGAGCTGATCAGGAGCGCAGTCCCCTGAGCAGAGGCTGTAGCCTGGGATCTCGAGCCAAGAGACAAGCTCCCCCCCAAAAGACTATAGGCTGCTGACTGAGAATAGCAATGTGCACCTCATAGACAAAATCCCCGCCTTTTTCCAGAAGGAAACCCTGAAAATATTTTAGTAATTTTAGATTTTTATTTTTTTAAACTCCTTTATTTTTTCGAAGATTTATTTATTTCTACAAGCACTGGGGTTCAGGCCAGAGGCGCAGAAGGGAGAGAGAATCCACAGAGACAGAAGAGGGAGCAGAACAGGCAAAATGATGGAAATACACTGCTGAGGGGAGCCGCGGGCGAGAAAGGAGAGGTCTGCTGCACCATGTGGGAATCTCCCTGGCCGGCTGGGATCGAACTGGCGACGCAGAGGCTGGGGATTCTCACAGTGCTGTGCTCAACCCGCTGCACCACCAGGGAGGCCCTTAGCACGTTTAGAAGTTATTTTTAAAAAGGAATACGACGTTCAGTCAATGAGAACAGAGTCTTGTCTGAGTTTTCTCCACAGAGGAGGAGTGAACTGAGAATCAATCATTCATTCTTTTTGTTTTCAGTGCAGAGCCAAGAGGAGGCGGAAAGGGGGGACACTGACAGGTAAGGTTCTGCCCGTTCCACCCGCGCTCTCCGAGGCCGCCCTTCCCTCTCTTGCAGGAAGCCCCAAATCTGTTATTTCCTTTTTTTTTTCTTTAGAAGTGTTTATTTTTTTTTTCCAAATAAGCAGTCAAATATTTTGTGTAATCCTGCTTTTACTTGTCATGTTTATTTATCCTTTCAAAATTTTTGTTAATAATAAATTTTATTTTTATATTCCCCATACAATTGCAACCCCCTTATTTTGACCCCAATCCCTCCCCTCCCGCTCCCTACCCCCATAGAGTGTCTCTGGTTCATAGTTTTTTGTTGATTTTCGCTTTCTTATCGTTATTCCTTTTCCTGGTCCCTGATATTTTTTGTTTCGATAATAAAAGGGATGGTTTTTTTAATTTCTTCTTCTTCAGATTTATTGTTTGTGTATAGGAAGGCTACTGACTTTTGCGTGTTGATTTTGTATCCTGCCACTTTACTGAACTGACTGATGAGTTGAATTAGTTTTTCTGTGGAGTTTTTGGGGTTCTCTATGTATATTATCATATCATCTGCTAATAGTGATAGTTTGACTTCTTCTTTCCCTACCAAATCTGTGATTTCTGCGGATAGTAGTCTCTCTCAGAAACAGGCCCTCGAGGAGCGGCTGATGGGATGGGGTATGTCAGGTACCCTGCTCTGCCGCCCCCGGGACAGGAAGCAGTGAGGGGCCGGGGTAATGGCCGTTGCCTGACAGGCCCATGGGGTATACTGAGAGTCAGAGCTTCAGTGGCCTGACTTTCTAAAAGTTCTCTGACTTCATGGATGATCCATTCCGTTTTGAGGGAACCACCGACCTGCATTCCTTCCAGGGTGGTTTAGGGCATCACAGGAGATCATGTGCATCAAAGTCTTTTAGTCGTGAAGCAACACACACACACACACACACACACGACCCTGCTTGATAGTATCACTGCCATCTGTCTTCCTCTAGTGATTGTTGAGCATTTCAGTGCCAGATAGCCCCAAGGTGGCTCCTAAGGGACTCCTGCATTAGACCTATGCTTCTATTTTCAGCACATAGGACATCTTCTTCTTGTTTCCCAGGTTGGAGCTATTGCCAGAGTGACACAGAAGAGAAGAGGAAGCTGACTGCTATTGTGGAAAGGTGACTTGTCCTTGCCCTGACCTCACTGTAGCATGACCTAGGGATTTAGTGTTACCCGCTGTAGTCATGGGAGGGGATAGTCGTGGGAGGGGTAGCCACGGGAAGGAGGGTATTGTGAGGTCACAGAGCGGGGCAATGTGAAGAAGCAGAGTTAGATGTCCCATCCCAGCCAGGCCAACGGGTCATCCTTTCATGGTTCTGGCCCTGGCTGCAATTTGAACACCCCCTGTCTCCTGCAGTCCCCTGGGCCGGAAACATGCTACCACCCGCTTTCGCCAACTATTGTGTCCAGACCCCTTCTGTGAAGTGTGTAATAGAGCAACTGCTGAGATCAACCAACTGCTGTTCTCAGAAGCCCTGGAAGATGCTCCCTCTGTCTCTTCTTTGGCTTCCACAGCTCCCATGGCTGAGTCCTCCTTCACAATGTCCTCTGCCTTCCCAGCAGCTCCCGCTGGAGACCAAATACCAGTTTCTTTGCTTCAACCTTCCCCACCACCCCTCTCCAACCCTCTTCACTCACCTAATCCACTGACCTGTTCAGATGAGTTTCTTGCACCCTCACTGGGATACAATCTGTCACCAGAGCCTTTTCCTTCACTGGGTCCTGAATACCCAGCAGGCCATTCTTCACCACAACACCGTGCTTTTTCCCCAGTCCCCCAATATCACAACCAGAGAGTGGACGCTGTGCTCCCAGCACACACCCCTTTGTCTCTAAATAACATCTTCTCAGGGGACCCCACCCTCTGTCAAGGTATCAAAGCCTTACCTAATTTGCCACAACCAATGAATCCTGATGATCCATATGGTTATCATCATCCACCACCAACACTGTCTGTTTCATCACCTCAAGACACTACGGTAACTCGGACTCAATCTAAAGCAATTTCCATCTCATTCAAGACTGTCTCAGAGAACACCACCTCCTGCAGCCCACCAGGGCTTTCTGTTTCAGACTGGTTAGCCTCTACCTGGGCACCACGTGGGGACTTCACTCACGAATGGCTTGCCCTTCCGTCTTTCGAGACCTCTGTGAACCTGCCATTTCTCAGTGCAGACGTCTTGGAACTCCTAGAGAGGCAAGTGCAAAAGCGGAGTGATTTCCTGATGTGGAAGGACAAGGAAAAGAATAGTTATTCCTTTCCAAAACCACAGGGACCAGGGTACCAACCGAATTCTTCAGGGGGAATGTTAGGGTCCCCTGCTGATAAGGATGACTCAGCAGTCTCCCTTCCCCAAGGGAGCCCCAAAGGCAAACCACAGGAGCTGCAGATGCATGAACTGCCCCCACATCTTAAATCTTTGGGGGACCATTTACAGCAAAAACGCATCCAGTTCTTCTGGGGTCTCCCATCCCTACACAGCGAGTCCTTGCGCTCTGCCATCTCTCTCTCGGGGGCGCTCCCCCTGTCTCTTTTTTCAATAGAATATCAAATGCCTCCACCAATCAAGAAGCCCCAGAGCTTCCCCAGCCCCTCCCTCTGTCCTCACCCGAAATCCAGACTCCAACGTTGCCTCAAACTCCGCCACAGTCCCCGTCCATGCCACAATCCCAGCCGCCAGCCGACCTGCCTTGCCCAATCCCAGCCCAACCATCTGGCCCTTCACACCAAATTAAGATCTGTGGCGTGTTTTCCAATAGACCCGAGAATGACCCAGATTGTCTCCAACCTGCTGATACTGAATTCCTGGAATGGCATGTGTTGCAGAAGCAACTAGCAGATGTGTGGGGTTTACCCGCTGTTGTCCAAAGTTCTTACAAAGACTTTAGCGCTTCACCTCCCGATTTTCCTCAACGCCGGCACTCTCTTGTCTCTAAATCCATCTCCATCCTTCCTGGAGATTTCCCCATTAGTGATAAACTTCGGAGAAAACTAGAACATCACCTTCGAAAGAGGCTTATCCAACACTGTTGTGGCTTGCCCCAAAGGATCGTACATTCCATGTCATTACAGATGCCTCCAGAATGGCTGTCAGAGGCAAATGAATTGGGGGCTACAGTGCACCTTCGGGAAGCACTGTGCTTCAGGGTCGGAGTTGCAAAACTCTAAATGTTGGACTGAGCCAATCGGGAAGTGTCCATGAGAGGAAGAGCTCGGTAATGTCTCAGTGTAAGAAGGATGCAGGGAGGTCTGAGGGACATAGCCCAGAAAAAGTCTCTGCGAAACTGCACAACCAAGTAGGGCAGGACGATTTGTGTTCATCGGTGTGTCAGGACTACTCCCTCAACACCTCCCAGCAGCTCTCCTTCATGAAGTCCAGCGCGCAGAATTTGCTGGAAGACCATATGAAGAGGTTTCGTCTGGGGATGCGATTGGGACCTCCCTCTAGAGTCCGTCAATCCTTAGACATCTTCAAAGAGACAGAAACCTCTTCCCTTCCCAACCATCCCTCCTCAACCAACATGACTACTCAGGAGGACTCCAAATCAGGGGGCTTCACGTCCATTAGAAGAAAATCGAATGGGGAAGAGAAGGTGGGGCTAACAGGTGTAGGTCCTGTGCGAGCTCACCCTGTCCCTGCTACCTCACACCTGGGCAGGGACAGAGAAGGGAGCGTGAGAGAACCAATCCCTGCCGTCACCCAGGAGCCAGCAGAGGGTGCGCAGAGGATGAAGGGTGGCAGACCCAGTCTTCTGCCTGTCAAACACAGTCTCCCGGGCAAGTCAAGGCAGACTCAGTGTCCCCGAGGCACGAGGTGCCCCCCCATGCCGCCTGCAAGGCAGGCTGTGGCCACACACGAGCCAGAGGCTGACAGAATGAGTTTCAGTAGTAGAGCAGAAATGCTGCAGGGCAAAGAGAGGCGCCAGAACTTAGAGATGCTTTCCAAAGCCGGTATGTCCAGGGAGATATTCAGGGCTGAGGAACTTGATGCTCCTCGATCAAAATCTAGTGACATTTTGATAACCAGCAAGCCAGGGAGCCCTCCACCAGCACCACTTTCTTCGGATAACTTGACCGTCAAGTCCTCACTGACTCATGCTCAGGGCATCTCCAGTGGGGACATGGAGGCCTCCCAGGTGCTGCAGGCCCACTTGGTGGACAGTGGGTTCAGCCCGAGGCGGCGGCTGGGGAATGGGATTTGTCAGCATGCGTTCAAGAGGTGGCAGGATAAGAATTTCCCTCCAGCTGCCAAGAGAGTGAGTCTTCGGGGACCAACACAGATGAGCTGGGTGGAGGGGACGCCAGGCTGGGGACACCCCAACCCAGAAGGCACAGCGTTCCCACTCGGAACATGGCATTACATGAGGCACACTGGAGGCAGACTGCCCAGGTTTTCAACAAAGAGGGGCAACCTCCTGCTGAAAACATATTCAGGCAAAAAGTGAAGCACTTTTTGCAATGGATTCGTCTTAGGAAAAGAGAAGAAAATTCCCAGGAGAAGGGCAGCTCCATATCAAGCTGTCCGCTTAAAAGTGGAGCTTCCTTTTCTGGGATGTCGGGAGCTCAGAACATCAAGACAGGCACTAGAAAGTCCCAGGAGAGGCTGGGCTATCACGAGACCATTCATTCGCCAGTGATGTGTGGGAGAACGCATCAGAATGCAAAAGTGCAGACCTGCACTGAGCCTATTCAGCGACATCCTCTTAACTACAGGGTCCCTGCTGTAAAGTGACACACGCCAAGTTCTGCCCCCAAGCTGCTGTCATTGCTGGCCAGACTCATCCTACAAATATTCGATGGGTCAGAGACATGGGCGGACATCCACAGAAAGCTGTGGCACTTGGGGAACAGCTATTGTGTGGGAAGCGTCCCCCACCCCCACATGGTATCTGTATACCATCTAAAAGCCAACTGCAGGCCTCACGTGGGCCACGCTTCTCCAACGTCTCTCACCACTGTGGAAGGGACGGTGATCAGAGAGCTGTGTCAACTACGTAAACAGAAAATTCTCCTGCAAATTTTCCAGCGAGGAAAATTTTGTACCCAAAATAATTATTGTTTATCAGATTGATTATCCCCAATAAATTCTTCTTTAATAGCAAAGTCTTATGTTTCTGGGACTTGGGTTTTGGGTAAATCGGGGCTGTGCTGAAAGCAAGGAGTTAGTTCAGTTCTTACAAATGGCCTCCTTTGGTTTCTCAATGATGACCACTCCCTTGGAACCCTGGCTGAGAAATTAGAATGTGTTTCAGCCCCAACCTCACTCTCCACCTAAGTCTGAGGACATGTGCTCTGCATAGCCCTGATGCAAGCACATAGTATCCCACACCTTCTCCTTCATTGTATGCTCTCTAGTGTTTAGGGATTATGGAAGAGCGGTCTTCCAGATGCAGAGACCTAACAACAAGTGTGTTTGCAAGCAAATCCACAGGAAAGAAGAAAGAACACCTTAATTTTGTTTACAGTCAGTGACCAGAGGTTCCCACGGGTGGTGGGTGAATGCTGAAAGTGGGAGTGTTTGGAGGTGGATGTTTCTAGTGTGGACCAAGGACCTGGATCAGGAGGGCTCATTTTGTTGAACTAGCTGGGGTAGGATCTAGAAACAGTGCAGATGCTGTTTGAGAAGGCTCATGTTCAGCACCGTTAAACCTGCCACTGAGGCTTCTCTGTGGAGAAGGGACCTTGAAGTAGTCGTTTTCTCCCCCTGGTATTTCTTCAACCTGCCAGGAGTCATGACATTTTATGCCATGTGCAAGCATCATGTAATTGTCAGTGGGCTGTTGACAAGTCAGCCCCTTTCCCTCCCAGGGTGAACTGAAAATGAAAGCTAAAAAAAAGATGCTTTAAATGAAGTGGGTAGTAAGAAAAAGAGGGCAAAACAGGATTCTGCTGGTGAAACAGGTTTATGCCTCAATATACCCCATCATCACCATGTCATGATCCGTCCTGCTTCCACTACTCAGTGTGATCCAGGCACCACCTGAGTGGGTCTGGGCCGGGTACTGTGCAGCATCCTGATGACTTTTGGTCATAGAGTTCAGGGTTCTTTCAGTATTAATGCAGTTGTATCTGTAGGGATGTCATCAGCCATGACAACCTCTTCTTTGGGAAGGGCATCTACACAAACTTGATGACAAGATCCCACTGTTAGTGTGTAGAGTTCACCTATGAGGATGGAGGTAGCACCTTCAATGCACATGTCTCTGGGGGAGTCATGGTAGATCTCGCTCACCACACTTTCAATTCATGAGCCAGCAGTGAGTCTAAGATTTTGCGCCAGAGCTACATTTTCTCTTGGGGACTAACCAAAGACCTCCAGACAATGCTCTTTGGGTCACACTGCACATACACAGACTTACCAGGGTTGGCATACACCTCTTCTGTTTGACTCAACTTACAAGTGGGTTTTGGAGGCCAGGCGTTCCACAAGGAATTATCTCATGTGTAGTAAAATGGGAACACAAGCAATGGAACTCATTTCAGTGTCTCTTTAGTGTATTCTCTTCGGTGCCACTCAACACCTCCTTCACTTCCCTCACACTTATCTCATTTGCTCAAAGATGTGCCGGAGCACCATTCACAGAGAAACCATGGGAGGGCTTTTAGTCACTTTTTCATCAACAAACTTTCCAAAACACATTCCTATTCCACTTTTCTTCTGTTACATATAATGGTTTCCACCCATCAGCAAAGGAGTTATAGTTTCTGCAATTTCCTTGTTGAGACACAGCTACACTCTAATCTTGATGGACAGAGGCCACCCTTGACAGGTTATTTTTTTGTGCTTCCCTCTCCTTATGAGGCACTTGATCTCTTTTATTTTTTAATTTTCAGTTTCCATCACAGTAATGTTTAAACATAACACAAGATACACGGAACACAATAACTCCCCAAGTATCCTTTGCACAACTTCCAGGATTATGAACCACTAAGTGTGACACATCACATCTTTTATACTATGCTGAAGGTATGAACATCAGTTTAAATATCTTAAAACTCAACTCTTACACATAAGTTCTTTGCCAACATAGAAGCTCCCCCACTTCTTTGATATTTTGCAATGAATGTATCCACAAACAGCATTGTTGGTGAAAAAGCACTGAGCCTTAGAAGGGTTGGCACACCCTTCTGCTCTTTGAGTCAACTGAGAACTCATTTAGGTGATTTCTTCCCTCAACACCATGTGGAACGTAATCTTACAGAGAAAACACACGCAGATCAAGAACTTGTTACTCTCCTTTCCAAAATGCCATCAGAGTAAAGATTAAATAAAAAGGTACAAAAAAATCATCATTCAGCAGAGAAATTAAAATCAAAACCACTATGAGATAGCGTGTCATACAAGGATGGCTAGACTAAAAAAATCAGGTAATAACATATACTGGCGAGAAGGTAGAGAAATTGGAACCCTCATACTGCTGGCGGGAAGGGAAAATGGTGTAGTTGTTCTGGAAAGCAGTTTGGAAGTTCCTCAAAATGTCAAACATAGACTTAGGCTATAACCCAGAAATTCTACTTGTAGGTATATACTCAAGGAGTAGGAAAATATCTTTCCACACAGAAACTTGTAAATGAACTCTCCTAGCACTACTACTCACAATAGTAAAAAGTGGGAAACAATACAAACATTCATCTATTGAAGAATGGATAAATGAAATATACTGATTCCATAGAATCAATGTAACATGCTTGGCAATAAAAACTGCTAATATTGCTGTGATATGAATGAATATTCAAAACATGGTAAGTAGAGAATCCAGTGACAAATGACCACACACATCATTCTACTGGTGACATATCCAGAATATGGAAACCCAGAAAGACAGAGTAGATTAG